GCCAATAAACGGCTGGATGCTGCAGAGGCTGAGCGAGTAGCAGGTTTCGCGCCAAACGCGACCACGGTCTCTATCGGCGAAATATCCGAAGGCGATTTAAGAAAAGCTGTAAAAAGACTTAACCCGCACACAGCTGGTGGCCCTGATGGGATTCCGGTTTTCATAGCGAAGGATTGTATATCTGTGCTTATCACGCCACTGCTTTATCTCTATAATCTATCGCTAACTCATTCGACTTTCCCGAAGATATGGAAGTGCTCTAGAGTGACGCCTATACCGAAATCAGGTACTGACTGTAACGTCATAAATTTTAGGCCTATTGCAGTGCTCTCGGTTTGTGGAAAAATATTTGAATCGATATTAAACTCCCATATAACAAGACAAGTTCGTAACATTTTTCATAACAGTCAACACGGTTTCCGCGTAGGTAGATCGACAAATACCAACCTCGTTTCTATCGTGGACTATGTATGCACTGAAATGGATTTGGGAGGACAAGTAGATGCCGCTTACTTTGACCTCAAAAAGGCATTCGATCTTGTCGATAATGATATTTTATTACAAAAACTGGCAGCTTCAGGCTTCACGCCCAAACTTCTACAGTTTTTTGCGAGTTACTTGGGTGGTAGACACCAATTTGTTAGGGTAGGTGGTTATGAGTCTCTTAATTACTACACGAGATCCGGAGTGAGCCAGGGAAGTACCTTAGGGCCGACACTTTTCTTACTCATGATTAACGAACTACCAAACTATATCCGATACACTAAATGTCTATTATTCGCGGATGATTTGAAGCTCTTTACGAAGGTTAGTAAGGCGTCAGATATTGAGGCGCTCCAATGTGATATTGATGCCGTGGCCGAGTGGAGTCGGATTAATCGATTGCCACTTAACGTAAATAAGTGTCAGGTGATCACCTTTACGCGTAAACGATCTCCTCTGCTTAGTAGATATAGTTTATATGACGCTCCTCTGGATAGAGTTAATAAAATTCGCGACCTTGGTCTAATATTGGATGACAGACTGGATTTTCATGATCATGTGACCGACATGTGCAAAAAAGCTAGCAAAACTCTAGGTTTCATTATGAGAACTGCTTCACAATTCCAGAACAGTGGAGTAGCAAAAATTTTACATAATGCGTACGTTCGCAGTAAACTTGAGTACGGCGCTATCATTTGGGATCCACACCAAAATAAATATAACCTCGTAGTGGAAAGACTACAACGTAAATTCGCTCGATGGCTATACAAGAGAACTTATGGGTATTATCCGTCTCTCTACCCCTCCTTGTTTGTAACAGCCATGGTAGACTTGGAAACGTTTGAATTTAGGCGAAAATGGATGCTCGTAGTACATTATCTGTCAATCGTGCGCAGTAAAATTGACTGTCCTGATATCCTGGAGAAATTCGGCATTCAGGTGCCCAGTCGCATCAGTTGGGATGAGACTGGGATAGTGCCTCCGCGCAGACGGCCGCGCTTGCTGCAAAGGCCGTTTGTACGTACAATTCGCGCTGCGCACGCTCCCTCCGTGCGGGCGCTCACGCTCATCGACGATATGCTTGCTGACCGCTATGACATAGATCTATTTGCCGATTCCTTTAGACAACTTCTTATGAAGGCAAACATATTTTTAAATGACTATTTTTTACTTATAGAACATTAGTTATTCAGTAGGTTAAAATTATGACATTTTAAAATTGTATTATAGTATTTTTAATTCATGTTGATTCTATTTGATTATTTTAATTTTATTTTTTTTTATTATCAATGTAACCTAAGCTAGTGGGTGTATTGGATAAGCTCTGTAAGCCCACTCGCCATACTGAATAAATGAATAAATAAATAAATAAATAAAAGGGTTGGGAAAGCAGAATTACGGGTTATGAAAGAAGTAAGGAATTTGGATGAAAAATATTTGGTATTATAAATAGGCATACATATAAAAACTTGATATTATTATAGGGAGTGGGACCCTGATTGCGAAGAGTCCGAATATATGAAAGTATCTTGGTCAATTGAGGGGGAGGAGAAGAAGATATGGTTTAGATCCCCATAGGGTTAGCATGCAGGGTCAGGAACAATTTCGAGCTTGAATAAGTGCGCTGGAGTTGTCACGTGACAAAGTCGTAGCCTACAAATAGTGCATGTTTTTTGTTAAATTGTTTGCTGAACCATGGCTTGCGAGGGATCCAAGACTCGAATAGATATTGAAATTCAAATAATTGAAATTTCTCAATCACCAACGACAGCTCATTCTACGAGGTAATCCTCAATCAAACGTTCGATAGATATTTCAAATTGAATTTTGAACGTGATTCCAATTTGGGCCTTTTAATAGAGTTGTGAATGTTTTTACATTACTTAGTGTTGTTTTAACAAAAATATTACACCATAACAATAACAACTGTGAGTATTGGTAATATAATAGCAATATGCTCACAAGTTTGTTATAATTATTAATACAAAGATCGAACACTCAGAAAAAATTCCTTTGATCCGGTCGGATTTGAACCGATGTCTTCTTGCATACCGTGCCAGACGCTATACCAACTAAGCCACGGAACGAACCAACGGACCTCACGAATTTTTCTATGTGCTTGCGTCGTGTCTTTGTACTTGGTCTGCCAACGATTTTTTAGTCGTAGCGTCATCTATGAGAAATCTATGACAGATTTATCACCCAGTTAGTACCTTTACAGCTATAATTATTAATACAAAGATCGAACACTCAGAAAAAACACTCAGAAAAATTTCCTTCGATCCGTATTGTATTAATTTTAAACCGATTTGTTTTAATAATTATAACAAACTAGTGGAGTAATTTCACAAAAAATAATTGAATATCAATTCAATAAAAATTTAATTAATATGCTCACTGTTTAATATTGTAAAATGTTGCGCGGTGAAAGTATTGCTCGCTGCGATTAGATATTTATTATTGTAAGGTTACGGTTATAAATCATAATTCGAATCATTATAATGGAGTAGTAATATAGCTCTATGTGAAAGAGTTCGTCCATGGAAGTACTGCCACCTTACCTATTTCTGCCACCAAGCAGTAATGTGAGCAAATCTATGCAATTTAAAGCTCTGAGTAGTAACTGCTATGGAAAGTGTGTCACAAAAAACATTGAGTCGACGATGGGTGGTCCAAGTCTATCGGTCGATGACAGTTAATTTAAAAGTACCAGAACCTCGGCTTCGACTACCTATTTACAGCCTTTGGAGTCGAAACCCTTGGCTCATGGCGTTCCGGTGCCCTTCATCCGTACAAAATTTTATCCAAAAAATTAATAGATTGTCTGGGAAACTCAAGGGCCGGCCGCTACCTTGCCCAACGCATTAGCATAGTCATGCAAGGGGGAATGCTGCCAGCTTGAGTACCTTGCTGCAGGGTCCTAATTTGATTCATATAATTTATCTTAGTTTTAATTTCTACAGCAGAAGCATCGTAAAACGACACGCCGCCCTGCTTGCTGCGCCATCGGGCACTTGTTGACGTCGGACATGTGTAATTTTTTTTCCGCCTGTTCTTATTTTATTCACGTTGACCTTAACCTTAACATTAATTCTAAGCACATCTCACCTCGTATAATTTAGAGTCGCGTTAAAATACCTCGCCATAAGTACTGTCTTTGAAGGGTTAAATGACCAAGAGGAGTTGAAATAGCGTCTAAAATTACCACTCACTTGAATCATAACTCTTACAAAATATATATCACGTATTTACGAGTAGCATCTCTATTTCTAGGAACAGAGGAGACAAACATATTTCTACAAAAACGTGAAATAATTCAATTTGGAATCTTCATGGACACTTCCAATGTGTCACTAGACTGTATCTGCTCCTTACTCTAACAGGATTGGAGTTAATTGAATGTTATAATGGGATCTTACGCCTGGAATTTTGTATTTCTATAGATGCTTGTAGATAAATTCAAAGAGCGATGACAGGCCAATGGGGAAAACGGTGCTTTTCAATTGAAACGCCGAGTATTCGAATTACTATAGCTGCCAATGGATGGACTGCATATCCATTTCTTCTGGTTAAAGTTTGTTCATGTTCGTCTGTAGCGGTCTAGATGAGGGCCTAAGGCGAGGAGATGCGCGTGTCACGTAAGTTGCCCTTTAAGTTAAAAGCTATATCCGGATATTGTCGCAGGATACTAGCCCGGAGAGCTAGTGGAGGATGAGCTAAACATTCTCCCGTCCCTTCAGCCGCGTAGGTTTTTGGGAACTGGAGAGACGCCTCAACGTCTGGAAGTAAAAATGTCTTATAGCTTCGCTACCAAAGAGGAGTTTTGATAGTGTACTTTAGAGTCAACGGCTTAGCGATGGCAACCGTTACTTGTGCAATGCGCAACGGGAAATGAGCGTGCCTACAGCTCCAGTACCTAATTCAATGGGTATCCTCTGGTGCCATTCCTACAGGAGACGGTACTCAAAGAACGGTCATTGAGTGACTATGATTTATCTATTTGTCGCGAATAGTCTGCTTGCATGAGAAACTCATACTCCAACATAACGTTTTGCTTTACGGCTTTGCTGTGTAACTTCCACATCGCTATACTATCTTTAAAATGTAGTCTTCGCCATATGTATCTATATAATTCTGATTGAAAGCGATTTTTACTTTTTTATATAGAACACTAATTTAAGCTCTCACTCATGCACTGTCGATTTCAGAAATACAGGAAATTATATAAAACGTTTGAGACATGAACGATGTGTTGCGTGTCATTCCATAATCGAGTCGCGCGGGGTTAGACTTAGAGGATGGAGATAGTCTATTCTGATCTATTTAATATTCTGATTCATTCTCAATAAAACCACGGCGTAAAGAATAACAAAACTACAGCGATTTTCGCACCCGTTTCTTATTAACCTCGCAAAAAAATTACTCTCTTAGAACTCACTGTATTTACATATAAAAATATTAATTTATTATCTTTGCCCAACAATATCTACGTACTGAAGTCCTTTGTCTTTGCCCTTGTCATGCCTTGCTATCATATTTACGTCAAGCATCAATTTCTCAAATATTATAAAATATTTGGACTAAATCAACAATAGATTTCAAGGGTCTACCAACGGCATTCACCTTCAGCATCAAAAAAACCGAAAATGCCAAAAAGTTCACCGACCGACGACTTCACCAAATCCTCAGACAAACAACCAAGGAGTCTCAGCCATGCTTCCACGCCTGCCCCGCTGCATTTCTCTGTTCACAAACCTGGATGTCATTTTGAAAGCTGTTGTGGTGTTTGTAATTTATTCCCAGGTAAGAAAAGCAGTTCAAATTTCAAGCGGTCCAGCCGTAAGATAGTGAATGACGTTGGCGTAATCGTCCTGTACAACTTGAACTTAAAAAAAAATAGCGTAACCTATTAATTTGTGAAAAAACAGGGAATTTTTTGTCTATTTACAAAATAATAATTAGAAAAAAAAACTAGGTTAGAAACGTTGAGCGACATCTAATCGCCAAATAGATATTTTCAATACCTACGTATAGATTGGTCCCAAATAAATTCGATCGATTTATAATAAGACATTCACTGCTTTATTACAAAAATTAAAGTAGATAATTTCTTCTCCAAATGTGCCACGTAAGAAAGTGGTAAAACTGACTGATTGAATGACTGATTGCATTTATTTTGCAATCTTACATTACATACTAAAATTAGTTAATCGTCAACAGTTTATTTTCGTTAAAAAATGAACCTTATTTAAGAACCGATGCTACCTCAGCAGGAATTTATAATACGGTTAATTATGATTGGGTCGAGCGGCTTTATTCCAGAATATATTTTTTTACAAACGAAAATTGAAGCCATTTGTGAATGATATCACACACAGTTCAGTGAAAAATCACTTCGATCTGACAGGACTCTAACCTGCGTCAGTAGTGCCAGTCTAGGGCAACCTGCTCCACCAACTGAGCTACAGATGGAGTCAGCTGACATTACGAATTTCTCTATGCGTTTGTCACAGATCTTTGTTTTTTGGTTTTAAAGACTTTTTTTCGTAACGCTACATGTCTATATTCCTCTATCATTTCTTCAGTCTACCGGATAGGAGGAATAGGCAACTCCTTCGATTGACCGTTGGCTTCCATCCGGGCAGGTTCCTTTAAGCAAATTTTTGTATCTTATGCCGAAGATGAATTGACCGAATTGCGAGGTGTGTGGGATTCCTGAGGATGTACATAATTTGCTCAAGGAGTGTGTTAGGACGGAACCTATGAGGCTGGTTTCCGTACATTTAATGTTGGGTGGTTTCAATTTGTTTTGTCGGAGCCAACGTGTGGTGCTGCAGAGATTTTGTATACATGTTTGGCATCAAATATATAACCAGATATAGAGACGAAATGTCATTTAATTTGTTTGAAAACTATTCTGCCATATCATTACTGTGACAACTGCGCTCCGATTGGCCAGCCCGAATTCGAAACAATTGACGGGTGTCGTCAATGGGTGTAGTCAAATGTTTCACTTCAAATCGACCAGTTAACTTGAGCTTTGCCATAATGGACGAAAATTGCAAAATTACATATTTAATATTTAATTACTGATATGTGATTCCGTTTGTTTTGTAATTAGATGTTTTGCTGTTTTTCCCACACCGCCGAATAGAACAGCACGGCATTGTTAGAGATCTTTATTACAATAAATACGGAATATGTTTTGGAATATACGGAGACGTACACACAGGTCAGTAGTTGGTCTGTCTATATTTCAGTGCAAACGGGAGTTGATATTTATAAGAGCTGTATCGCTAATATGTTACCAGGAATATATGGCCCTCATTTCATCTCTATTTCTGGTTATATACTCGATGATGTTTGGTTAGGTAGTATTTTCATTTATCTGTCTGTTTACTTGAGGTACTGTTCTTCTAATGGAGATGACATGTTCAATAACGGTCAAAGCTCCTAAATAAATAAAGAATAAAAAAAATAAAAAGTACATTTACAACTACCAGAGGTTGACGAGACATGTCTCTTTATAAATTATATTTGTTTATTCTGTGTTTGCGAACCTGAAAGTCAATCGCTTACTGTGATTCCAGGAGTCCTGTTGATAGCTTTCTGTCAAGTCCTAGTGGGTTCGATCCTGCTCACGCTGATCCTGACACATGGCAAACAGTATGACGAAATGCACCAAACCTCCAAAACACAGAGTAAGTTTATTAACTCTGTCTTACCAATTTTTCAATTCCAATTATAAAAATTATGTATAAATACAAATATTAATGTAATATAGTTATAAATAGTATTTATTTTAGATAGAAAACACGGGCAGATACTGAAAAACAGCAAAAAGCCGAGGTTTCGGCCTTTTCTTCTAAATATTAGAAACAGCGCCTAGTTTATAGTACATGTATCATGTGTTTTTCTAGGTAGGAAGCAGTAGTGCTCCTTGTGAAAGAGTTCGTCCAGAGACGTACTACTACATTACCTATTTCTCCCACCAAGCAATGATGTGACCATTATTGCGTTCCGGTTTTCAAGGATTAAGAGAGCTGGTGATTCCAAGCACATCGGACTTGTCAACTTATGTTTCGTAGTAGCAATGCCCCTAAGATATATACGATTTAAAGCTCTGAGTGGCACTACAACCGCCTCTCGCGGCGCAGCGGTGGCGAGCAACTACGTTTTCTCTTTTTTTTGTGATATTAGTGACGGAGTGAACAAGACGTGCGCCTGGTGGTAAACGACACGCCTGGTCATAGCAGTTCCAGTGTCACAAAAAACGTTTAAATGGCAAAGTTCTATGGAGTACTGCCACTGCGTCCGTCACCCTGAGGCATAACTTGACAAGTCCCATGTGCCTGCAATTTCACGAGTAGAGCTCATTATGAAAGAGTTCGACCAAGGAAGCACTGCCACCTTACATATTTCTGCTACCAAGCAGTAATGTCAGCATTACTGTGTTCCGATTTTGAAGTGTAAGGGTGCTGGTGAAATTACAGGCAAATGTCAACTAACATCTCAGGGTGATAGGCGCAGTGGCAGTGCCCCTCAGATCTTTGCAATTTAAAGTTCTCAGTGGCACTGCAACTGTTATGGACAGGCGTGTCGCTTACCAGCAAGCACAGGGCTTATTCGTCATTATAAAAAAAAGGCAACAGTGGTATGGAAATTACGACACTCGACTCCGAAAAGTTTCAACTTCAGGCTTCTAATAGAGTATCATTCCTTAAACACAATATACTAGAGCTCTCTGGATCTGATCTGTAGAGCGGTCTGGATAAGAATTGTACTAACAAGAATATAAAATATTATAGAAAGCTCTAGAAAGAATTGTACTAACAAGAATATAAATATTATAGAAAGCTCTAAACTATTATAAAATTTCAAGAAAGTCAATTGCAAATAATAGAAAACTCAGAAAATATTTCACTTCAAAATGCGTTTGCTACGACGGCGACGGCAAAGCGTAGAAGTTCTACGAATTTCTACGTTCACAATGAACCCGTATCGTAGCGTCTACAATAGAACACTTACATGGAGCTCTATATAACCAAACTTTAATATAATAAAAATTTTGCAGAAAATGTCTCCTTAAAGAGCTCGAAACGTTGATTTGTTTGAAAAAAAAAATTTATATACGATTTTTTAAATCCAATAAAATTCATATTTAATGGGTACCAATCGCGAAAGCCTAAGAGTGGCGATTTTAAGCATCGATACAACCGCACGATTGCATCGATATCGTCGCTTATGTTGAATAAATATACACGAAAACTCTGTATAGATTTATGGTGTAAAGGTACACGATTAGCAACTGCATCGCGTTTGCATGCTGCTAAAAATCATCGTGTGTAACCGCTCTAAGAACTCGTTGTTTACTATTACTTAACACTATTCTCAATATATGCGCCTAAGGCACAGGCGTGTCTTTTCTCATCAAAACGGAGTGCCCTACACCTTACTTCGGCTTTCCGAAATGTATCCGTGCCGAAAACTGACCACCTTGAGCTACTTGATCTGGACTTATTATCCAACCTCAACTTTGAGCGATACATCGAGTGCTTGGTAAAAACTGCTGCCAAAAAACTAGGCACATTTTACAAGGTCAGGCGGTACTTCACACCTGAACAGGTTTTAAATCTGTATAAAGCACAAGTTCGATCGTGTATGGAGTACTGCTGCCACCTTTAGGACGGCTCTGCCCATTACCAGTTAGCTGCCTTGGACTCGGTGGAGCGAAAAGCAAAGAGACTTATTAACAACAATTCTCTTGTGGAGTTGAAGCTACAAAATCTCGACTATCGCTGACAAGTTGCCTGCTTATCGGTTGTCTATCGTAGCTTTTCAATTTAGTTCCACCCTCACGGTTCTTCCTTCAGTCGACTAGAAGGTCTGGATCATCCATCTCCATCGTTATGTCGTTGATATATCACCCATTCGCACTACGCGCTTTGCTTCCTCCTTTCTGATGCGTACGCCAAAGGAATGGAATACTCTACAGGCAACTGTGTTTCCCGAAAAGTACAACTATTCAAGGCTAGAATGTATAGGCATTTTTTTAGGCAAACGCGTACCATCGTCGGTCACATCGTCGCTTAACATCAGGTGAGATTGTGGCCAAGCGTGTGTCTGTTATTTTTTTTAAAAGAAAAAGCAATGAAATAAAAACTAAAAACGCCGATACAAAACAGTGTATTCCAAAAAAATCACCATAGGTACTATATGCTAACTATTCGTCGAGTCCAATCTAATGATCTTAAATACGTTAGTTCTACTGTAACTGTGGTTTTCCACCGGCAAGCCGGCGCGAGGCAACAGTACGGCGGGCTCACTTTCACCTTGCTCGCAAATCGCCAGTGTGACAACGCTCAAACTCACCCGTTCTTGCGTCCGGGCCGGGGAATAAAAATTACTAGTATTGCTTTGTTTTTGTACATCTAACTCTATAGTGCTACGTAAGAGCGCGTTTCCACTATGTCGTGACAACAGATAGTCGTACAGTTTAAAGTATCGTGGCTTGTATATTTAAATGAAGTTGTTCAGACATTGAAAACATGATTAACTGTCGTCCACGACTTTTTTGACGTTACGAGAGACTGTCGTGACAATAGGAAGAGTTAGAACGACAGTCGTCCAACGATAAAATAAACGTCCACGACACAATTACGACAGATAAGCGTGCCGTGAGAACAGGCTAAACGCGATAAATACAACGATAAATAAAACTTTACCACATAATGGGAACGCGCCCTTACGCTATAAAAATTTGTTATCTTTGACCGATAGACCTGCTCGCTTCTATATTTTTATGATGTAAAATATGAAAATTATTTTTTTCACTTGTTCTGTAAAAGGCTTAAATAACTTGTTATAATTATTATTTTCTTATTCACTCTACATTTCACGTTTGCCTTCGCTCTACATCTGCCTGCTACGGATATGAAAGTGTTACTATGCCAACTTAATTTTTTGACCTGATCTGTGTTTATTTTGTTCTTTGTTTCTTTTTTTGCACAGAATTCGTTTTTTTGTTTTTTGTTTTCAAATTTTGTTTTTTGTTTTCAAATTTTGTTTTTTGTTTATCTTAGTTTCTTATTTTACGTAAGTATTAGTAAATAAATGTGGCTGTTTCCAAAAATGACAGTAAAAATTAACTGATTTAGGCATTGACTTACAACTATATGAACGTCGGGTCCGCGCTAAAAAGTGTTCGAACTTATAGGGCGTTAAAATCGTATACAGAGCGTCATTCACGCTTTAGTCTTCGTTTATTCGACTGACAGCGAAGCAAGCAATATTAGACAGTACTGCGATGACATTACAATTTAAATTCAACGTTTTAGCTTTGTCATATTCATTTACATGTCACTACGTTTAAATAGGTTGACTTGGGACATTTTTTTCGTGGTTTTTGTATTAGACCCGTCGACCATTTATTTGTAAGTCAATGGATTTAGGTATCGAATTATCTACCATAACATGTATTTAATTTTGTCCCTACGAATCTATCATTTAGATTTGTATATTAAAAATGTATGTTTTTTGTTATTTCTAGTGGCAAGCATGGCGTCTGGAGCAATTCTAAGCGGCATGACGGGAGCTGGTATACTCCTTATCATCGTGGCCCTCACAGAGAACTGCAGAGCTATGTTGGTACTGAAATTTTTGATAAATTTAATATGAACATTTTTCCAGTCGGATAAATTGAAGGATTTTTTTCTATTGCTATCACAATAATATTAAAGCGGTCATTCTCGGACTAGTGTTCACTATCTGATTTCCGTGGAAATTTTTATTATTTAAGTATTAGATTTTTTTAACATTCAATATTAGATACTTAATATTCGAGTATTGTATCGTCAAACATATAATATACTTGAATTTTAAATAATAAAAATTGCCACGGAAATTTGGTATTTGGAAACATTAGTCCGAGAACGACCGAAATGGTGTTTGTATAATTTCGGATATTCCCTAATACAAAAAAGTCTCTCAAATACAAAATTCCAATAATATCGAGCTAACTTTCGCCGCAATTGGTTAGTCGACTACGTGCCTTTTGTAGAAAAAAAAATAAACCTTTATTTCTACTACAGTATTAATTAACATTTACATATCTTATTGCCTAGCAACAGTAGTATTTTTTATGATACTAAATGACGGTGCGAACAAGTCGTGCGCCTGGAGTTAAGCGACACGCCTGTACTTAACATTAGCAGTGCCAATTAGAGCTTTAAATCACAAAGATCTGATACTGCGCCCGTCACCCTGAGACATAAGTTGACAAGTCCCATGTGTCTGTAATTTCAATAAAACCCTTACCGGAACACGGTAATGCTTACATTACGGCTTGGCGACAGAAATAGGCACGGTGGCAGTACTTCCTTGGAAGAACTCTTTCAGAAGGAGCTCTACGGCTACTATAGTAATCGCCTCCTCGGTGTAAGTCTCCCTTTTTGTCTTTCATAATTTTCTTTCCCTTGCTTTCATTATCCATTGTGGTCCTATTTTTCGTACAAAAGTATCTTCCTACCTTTTCTTCAGCTAATGGTTATAAATGTTATGATATGATGTGACAACGAAAGGATATTTCAGGTTTACTTATTGGTGGCCACCATGGTTTGGATCAGCATCATGTCCTTGGCGATTACCAAGATTGGGCGCGCTTGCATTCGTTTCAAAGATGGTTAGAAATTGTTGTGTTTGACAATCAATTGAGTTAATTAAAATGGAAGTAGATTAGTTTGCTACTCCCATCGAGTATATAACCAGAAATGGAAACCAAATAAGGGCCATCCATCCCTGGCAACTCATCAAGCAAATGGGTCTTATATCACTTTTAAATATCAACTCTCGTTTGCGCTGAAATCACAAATTACAAAGCTGAGACATGCCAACAACTGATCTGTGTGTAGATAGATAGATAGATAAAATCTTTATTCACCACCATGACAAATATATACACAGACACATGATACAGACATTAACTTAGACATAACACAGTAATATATTCTACTAGTATCTCTTTTGGAAGCCATGGCAATAAAAAACCGCTGTCTCAACATAAATGACGCGGCTGCCCGCGACGCTGGTATTCTGCCACGACCCTATAGGGACAAGGACGCCACTCGTAAAAACCCAAACCAAAACCAATTTATTTGAATTCAAATTTTAACCAACTCAATTCAATTCAACTCAATTTAATTTCATTCAATTTATTTATTTATTTATTTTTACTCAAACACGTACGTCTCCGTATATCCCAAAAATATTCCGTATTTATTGTAATAAAGATAACATCTCTAACAATGGGGGCTGTTCTATTCGGTGGTTTGGGAAAAACAGTAAAATTCACATTTAATCGGTAATTAAATATTAAATACGTAATTTTTAAATTTTAGTCCATTATAGCAAAGTTCAAGTTAAAGTGGTCAATTCGAAGTCTCACAAATGACAACACCTATCAATTGTTTCGAATTCAGGCTGACCAATCGGAGCGCAGTTGTGACCGTAATGATTTGGCAGAATAATTTTTTGGCAGAATAATTCGTCTCAATTCCTGGTTATATGCCAGATGGCTACTCCGCAAGTCCAGTGAAAGTCATGCAAAATACCTGCGCTTGTGTAGAATGATTGGGAGTGAGCGGAATATCCTGTTATTGCAACAATAAAACATAATTATCGTAATCGAGCCATAAATGCCGATTTATCGTAAGCTAAATTTTTACCTAAACAGCGTTTTTATTGCAAATGATATTTTAAACTATAACCAATGTTATAACGGACAACATTAATGACTATAACGGACAGGAAGCGTCGACATTTCCCGCCAAAATTAGATCAAATAGAAACTATAGTAAAAGTTAAATTTGTCGTTAGCTCAACTGTTTTTTTTTATATTTTAGTGTACCTAACCGACAGAATCAATATTAAAAAATCATAACGTAAGCGACCCTACTTGTTAGCGCAACCGACAAACATATTACATCACATTTTCGTCGTTTATTATAAACAAAGTGGCGAAAAGCTATTTTAGTCAACTCACACAGAGAACAGGCAAATAGGTAAATTTCCAATAATATTCAAAATCCTCACAGCTCGTGGCAGTGATGCCCTATTCAGTAGGTTCATTCTTCCGCGTAGAATCACCAACAACTGAGGTTGGCGGCGCCGACGCTCCACTTGACCTATCGGGAACTGCATTGCATTTCTTACCTCTCAACAATTTGAACACATACATAGTCACTGCCAAATCTTATATAACACAATAACTTTAGCAACATTTCTAACAATAGTTCCCAAGTTTACCGCCAGATGTCATTGGCATAGGAAACACGATTTCTGAATCACGATGTTAATATTTTTCCTAATGTAACCGGTCACTAGTATTTTGTATGAAATTGACCTATTCTTCTACTTGTCTATAGTTATAGTTGATCTATTCAACGATTGCATTTCTACGGTCATCCTCATTACTAAGGAAGCGTCTCGAACTCGTGCCCATCTTTTGGAACAGGTTTCGAGAACACCTCTTGAGTGAGTGTACTTTTGTAAGATCGCACCTACCGAGACTTGTCACGGACTCTGCACCGCGCTTGCAACCAGAGAGACGCATTCCTTTTATTGGACACATTTGTATTGTAAACTTTTGTACAATAAATCAAGTCTTCACCGAATTCCTGGACTTAGTAAGGGAGCACCAGCTAACCGAGCAAACCTCTACCACCCTGTACACCCCTCTTACTACAGCCTTAAATATTGACCTATATGCAATCTTATATAGTTGAACATTTCCACTTGAGTTATATTGCGTATTACAAATCGTATTTCCTATTCCAGCTCCCAAGATAAAAGACGAACAGCACCGTCTGGCGAATTTGGCGTGCGTCAGTGGACTCTTCACATTTCTTGGCGCAGGTAAATTTCTTTTCATAACCAGTTCTATCAGAAATTACAAAAATAAAAGATAATCTCTGGTTGGCAATCTGAATTTCACATCTCTAATTTGTTCGGTAAGTACGTTTGAACCATTTTGATTATTTTATTATAATTGTGATTACTAGAAGTCGAATAGGCGGAGTGCAAACTAAAATTCAAGTAATACATACTGAAACCTCGGAATGATTAATGAGAATCATACCAAACTAGTTATATTTTCTTCTAAATAGGCTACAATTTAATTTTATATTATTTTAACCTATTAGAAGACGGCTATCTTACAGAGTAAAAATTGAAATAAAAATGGAGAGCCAATCGTAGGTCCTCACCAGACACATTAAGGTAATTAATAAGCATTGAATTATAACTGTATAACTAGTAATTATACTGTATAATTGACATTTTCGCAACACTTAGTAATTACCAACTCGCCAAAAAACAAACTATTAATAAGACGCTTCACCGATGCTGTACTAGTGCTAAAAAGGTCAATATCAACCTGGTTGGACGATACATGGAAGCTATTACTCGCACGCAAGAGATATGCATTCCGCCGAAAATTCGAAGAGGCCACAAGTAAGCACAGAAGTGAATTAAACCTAAGGGTCTTTGTAGTTATGTAGTTACATTATCAAAAATATATTTCTTTACTTATTTTGTTAACACACTAACAGTATTTAATTTGCATAAGGAAATATATTCGTACAAATTAACTTTAGTATATATTTAAAACTAGATGGCGGCATTTGCGGTTTTAACGTGGTGCTTTGTTAACGCTGGGTTTAAATCGAGTTAAAAACCATTAACGTCAGAAATACAACTTGTAAATCGAGTTTTGTTGAAATTTTATGATAACAATAATAATTATTTATTTCAGCCTTTTACAAATAATGGTGTATAACTAAATAAGTGCTAGTGTACCATATTTGGCTTGTTAGTAATTGACTCAAGGTTATCTGTCCCCTGATTTTGAAGCTTTTTTTTAATTGCCCGAGGGGATTTGCTAACAGATACCCCGGCCCTGCGGGGGCAGAGCCGGGGTTATGTGGGAATGGACTGAACCCTGAAGGGGAGCAACCCGACCGCACCAAACGTCCGGGGTGTGCCTCCACCAGCGGCTGATCGCGCCCAGCGCAGCCCCTCCCCGAGAAAGGAGACACAACGATCCCCCGACTCCAAATGTAAGGTTCGCCGAACACCAGACGAACCTTCCATCTCGGGTCCCTCCATGCTGGGCAGCGAACTCCCCCGAGTCCGCTAACCAGAGGCCACGGGGCCAGGACAACATACCCTCAACTGTGAAATTCAGAGGATGCTCCCCCAGCCCCCGCGGCGGATCTGTTGGTAGGCTCCGCCGCAACACCCTACGCGCGTCCACGTGGACTCCGTAGAGAGTCCTTTGAAGCGTCCACGGCACGGGCCAATCGCCCAAATTCGCCCGCGGAGGACATGACAAGCGGCAACGACACACCGACATTTTTAATTAGATTGGAGAGACGGGCTGTACTAATATTTGTTCTGTTTCACCGTAATCAAGTGCTAATAGCCTAGTACTTATTTTATTTTTACACTCAAATTTTTACAGTGAAACTGTATTATTTGAGTTGTTATAAAGTCTAGAACTTAATGAAGCAAATTGTCTGATGAATGATATCATATTATTACAAAATATTTATTACTTTCTGATCTAGATACAAAAAATCGTTAGATCGTACGCACTTGAATCGATCTTAATAAGTACTGAGTAGAGAAAATCCACAGGGTTGCAAGGTGGGTATTGTGTAGAGCTATCTCTTTATTATCTACATCGAAATTTGTAATAAATAAGTATAAAATTGCACCAAATTTCGTATTCGCCGTTTCTGCCCACGATTTTGGGTAGAAAGGGGTTAAAACTTCTGTAGAGGGTAATTTTTATGTGGTATAATATCACTTTTGCTATACTTTTAATACACTTCCGAACATATAATTCGAGCCACCACGTATTTTTAGTAGTAAGTGCCCTAAGCTGAAACAATGTTTGATTGATCAAAAACTATCATGCAATTTTGAAACTAGTATACTAAATGTCTTTTCCACAAGTCCTTGTTGGGAATTTGGATTTGCACAACCGGGGAAAACTTTTGTATTCTAGCCCTTTAGGACAAAAATGCGAGGTGGCTCGAATTATATGTCCGAGAGTTACACCCTCGCCCTTCAAAACCGAAACGCGGTAATATTTACATAAGCGAAGTACCTCTCTGTACGAATTTGTACAAGGAGCGCTACCGTTTCTAAATCTTGTCATAAAAAAATATTCTTACTGTTCTAATGTGGTAATTACTAATATGTAATGTGGACAAAATGTAATATCTCCATTAAGTACATCAATCTGGGAACTCGTAATTACACTGCAACATACGTATCTCTATACCAATTTAAATACAAATTACATTACGCGTATGCCGTTCGTTTCGCCATTCAAAGCTCAATCAGGCCGATTGGAGGCATGCTGGGATTATAGATAACTATGTATAAAATATCTCTCTACATCAACCATTTGCATTAACATGATTGCAATTTGTATCCGCATTTGTATAATTAATCGCAAATATTTAAATGTTCATTTTATATATTCGCTAAAGTATACACATATGTATGTATCACCATAATCATTGACCCATTTATACATCCCACCGCTGGGTACGGGTCTCCTCTCAGGCGAGGGTTTAGGCTATAGGGCTCGTTCAGAGCGCAAACGCTCACTATTGTAATCTTTCAAAACGGCCATACACGGTAATTTTGTTACGACGCCAAGTCTAATGATGTGATATGTTATGAATTTTAATCTTATATTAATTAAATTCTCTTAAGTTAAGCAAAAACAAACTACACATAAAATGCCACTATGAATCCATTCTTAACTAGAATATACAATTAACACATGATTTTATTGACGCTTTAAACATTTTTTTATATAATATTAAGTGACGGAATGAACAAGTCGTGCGCCTGATGGTAAGCTACACGACTGTCCATAACAGTTGCAGTGCCACTCAGAGCTTTAAATCGCAAAGATCTGAGGGGCACTAAATCTATGGCGGTCAAAGGATTAAGGTTATACCTATCACTGTTTTTCGGAAATAATGCTACATTTCTACGAACATACACATTTAGTCTTATTAACACACATATTCTCACGTACGCACAAACATACTCACTCATCACGATATTGTTTATTATAAAATAGAATACAAGAATACAAGAATACAAGATATTTATTCGCTGAAAAATGTAGTTTACAATGTTGTTATAGTATATTATTATTAGATCGTACATTTCACCAAAACTTGGCATGCGAATATTTTACACAATTCTTATTTCAATCACGCACAGTGGTTAAATTTTACATTTTATGTTATCAATTAAAAATCATTTATATTGCAGTAGCATTGTGTAACTAACAAATTATGTAATTTTATTTTAAATTGCCTACAATTTAGTTCTTTAACTGCATCTGGTATTTTATTAAATAATTTTTTTAAATAATTTTATTAAATAATATAACTAGTTCCGTTTATATAAAAATCATAACTGTAACAAGTGGGCGTTTTGAGATCTGTAAGGGTGCGTTTCCATATTATGTCGTAACTTTTTTTTTTTTTTTTTAATAATAATAACGCACACACTCAACATAGCCCCGCACTAGGGAAACCCTGTGTCGCGGGTGCCATGGACACACACATAGACAACCACAAATTACACCCAAACTCACGAGAGCAATAAATGTAGGCCATACAAATATTTCTCCCGGCCCGGGAATCGAACCTGGGGCCTCTGCGTGGCAGTCCGGCATGGTAACCGTTCAGCCACGGAGGCAGTTAAATTTTTAATTTATCGTTGGACGACCGTCACATCTAGCCTGTTCGCATATCACGACTGTGTCGTATACAATTATTTTACCGTTGAACGACTATAGTGTCTAGCAACAGCTGGACCCACTAGATCGTGACGACAATGTATCGGTTCACGGCAGCCGCCTTATCGTTTGTACAACAGAATCGTTTGAAGCTGCAATTATGTGTCGTCACATTTCTGCAGTGACGATTTATTTATCGTCAGATGACTGTCGTTCTAGCTCTTTCTATTGTCACGACAGTCTGTTGTCGTAACGTCAAAAAAGTTGTGAACGACTGTTAATCGTGTTGTTCTACGTTGTTGTTGTACAAACCACTACACTTTAAACTGCACGCCTATCTGTCGTCACGAAGTAATGGGAACGCGACCTAAGACAAATCTAATTACCCGTTACAGATTCCAGTTTCTACTTTAATGTTGTTATGCTTAATTTATATTAAATTCATGATAGGTTCTTTTGTGAAACTGATTTATTTTATAATTTTGTTTTTTATCAACCTATTGGGCCCCATTTCTGGGAAAAGACCTCACCATCTCAATCAGCCCCACGGCTGATTGCCACCCATGGCCACCCATGGGACCTGTAAAGGGCCCGAAACGTTTGTTTGTTTGAAAAAAATACAAATATACGCGATTTAAATCCGAAATAATTAATTTCATTACCTATGTGTAACAATCGCGAAAACCTAAGAACTCGATACGAAAATTTAATTTTAAAACAGGATGTAAACATGCTGCTCCTCTGAAATTCTTTTCAAAATGGCGCTTTCGCCCTTTTTTCAAAGCACCGACATGTACCTTACATGGTAATCTATCACAAATTCGAAATATTTTTAAATCCGAAACATCGAGTATTTAACCAGAAATAGAGACGAAATGTCATTTAATTTGTTTGAAAACTATTCTGTCATATCATTACCGTAACAACTGCGCTCCGATTGGCTAGCCCGAGTTCGAAACAATCGACGGGTGTCGTCAACTGTTTCGCTTCAAATCGACCAATTAACATGAGCTTTGCTATAATGGATGAAAATTGCAAAATTACATATTGAATATTTAATTACCGATGAAATGTGATTCCGCTTGTTTTCTAAATAGATGTTTTGCTGTTTTTCCCACACCACCGAATAGAACAGCACGCCATTGTTAGAGATATTACCTTTATTACAATAAATACAGAATATTTTTTGGAATATACGGAGACGTACACACAGGTCAGTAGTTGGCCTGTCTATATTTCAGTGCAAACGAGAGTTGATATTTATAAGAGCTTTAACGCTAATATGTTACCAGGAATATATGGCCCTTATTTCGTCTCTATTTCTGGTTATATACTCGATGATCCGAAATAAAGTTTGTTCGAATTTTCATTACACCGAAAACCGAATTACAACGAAACCGTTGTTCTTTCAGGATATGTCGAATGTTTATCTCAAAGACACTATTAGGTTCGGTTAGGTTAAGTTAAATTACATTTTAAAGAAAAAAACATTTTCCTCTCAAAATTGTGTACGTAAATAAAGAAACATTTTATTTTAACTTTGTTACTTTCGAGGTTATGAAATTTCAACCAAACGTTATTTCTGGAAAATGTCATTTCGGATAGGTAACCACCCTACATCCTTCAATTTCATCATGATTAAAAGTTCTTGTGCTTTGTTTCCTTTCACAGTGATTTACTTCTTCTCGTTCATCGTGGTCTTCAGTTTTTACCACTTCAGGTACGTCCGCCGCGCTATTTTGCTACACGAAGCTGAATGCGAGTGATTTTGATACCTTGTTAGTTAATTTAATAAATTTTTATTTAATATTTCGAATATTTTTATTAATAGACATTATGCCCTTTATGCATTGACTTACAATTATGTGGACGTCGGGTCCGCGCTAAAAAGTGTCCGAACTTATAGGGCGTTAAAATCGTATACAAGAGCGTCTAAAGTCTTCGTTTGTTCGACTGACAGCGAAACAAGCAAAATTAGACAGTACTGCAATGACATTACAATTTAAATTCAACGTTTTAGCTTTTTCATATTCCTTTACATGTCACTACGTTTAAATAGGTTGACTTGGGACATTTTTTTCGTGGTTTTTGTATTAGACCCGTCGCCCATTTATTTGTAAGTCTTTTTTTAAGTATTTTTTTAAGTGACGTTTCTTTGTTTGTTTAACTTTAAGAGTCTATACAAACTCAAATGGCTTTAGTTGATTACGTATAACAGTGAAGGCGTTGAATGAATCACTTTGGAAAAAATATATAGTAAAATTGGTGGTATACACTGATTACTATACGGTGTGAAAACAAGTTTCCTAAAAAGAGTATATAAAATCATACTGTAGTCCCATGGGAGCCAAGTGGTTTCAAATTATAGGCATGGGAGCCAAGTGGCAGGAGTAAAAAGTTTCACTATAGAAAAAACACAAACTTACTTTGAAATTTTACAGAGAAACCACTGTATGTTCAATAAGTATTGTGCATATACCAATGATTTTTAATATTAACTGAACAAAATAGAACATGTTATAGTATCCGAGATATATTTTTTAAATGGTCTTAATTACGTTTGTGAATAAATAATTGTGAAATGAAGCCAGTGTCCCTGCCTCTCGATCCAAGCAAAATGAACCGTATTAGTACGGGAAAAAATTGAATACGAACAAAGGTAGTATCGACTCATAAGGCGATGTATTTAAACGCGAGCTTAGATTTTAGGTGAGGTGTGGGGGGGCTCTTTAAATTAATATGAATAAAATAAGGACAGGCGGAGAAAATTTGACACAGAGCCGACGTCCACAAACTCCCGATGGCGACTGACGAGGCAATGGGCGACGCGGCGTGTCGTTAAACTACTGGGCAATTTGCAAATTTTGGATAAAATGTGAATTTAATAAGCAATAAGTCCTCAGTTGAAAACCAAAATTTTGCAGGTTCCCTATAAGTACTTAAAGAGAAATATCTCCGTATAAAAATTATCAACAAATTTAGATTTTACCAGACCATACTGCACCGTAGTGTGGCTCTTACCAACTGAGCTACAGGTCAAGTTATCGAGTTGTAGAAATTCTCCTGTTTTTTTGTTACCGCAGCGGTGAAGAAGGTTCTAAAATCTCTCATCAAAATGCCAAAAAGTCCAGTACAAAGATCATTAACAAAAACACATTGGAGAATTTCGACAACTGAATAACTTGAGCCGTAGCTCAATTGATAAGAGCGATACTACGGTGCAGTAAGTCGTGGGTTCAAGTTCTATTGAGTCGAAAAACTTTTTCTATGTGTTCGATCTTTCTTAAAAACTAGTGAAGTTATTTCAAAAAAAATATCTCAACAAAACATTAACAGATTTAAAAATAAACTAAAATAATTTCGAATCCAAAAGGGCTACTAAAGGAATTTTTAACTGAAAAATAAAGTCACATCTCACGGAAAGCTCACGTTAATCTCATTTATTAATTGAATATGAAGATAATAATTTAATAATTAGTTTTTAAGTCTCCCTGACTGGATCTTAATCCTTAAAGAAATAAAGATATGTCAGAATAATAACAAGTGGTAGGTAGTTGTCTCTGCCTTTACCGTTGGGAAAAGAGGTGTGAATCTATAAGCAAATGTGTATAGTTTTGGTTTATTTATTTTTATAGCGCCTGATGTGTTAGTAAGTATAAGTTTATTTAGGTATATTTATACATATATACATATATCTACGTAGGTATAATATAACATTATTTTTTAAATATTTTATAAATTACTATGTGTCTTTATTTATTTATTTTTATTTTGTATTTTTGTTTAATTTATACAATTTAATTTTTTTATATTTTTACTTTTATATTTGTAAAATTGGCACACTACGTCTCCCGCTCCGATTAGCTTTCCTCTAACTCTAATGTTGTCTGGAAGAGATCGCTCTTAGCGATAAGACCGCCTTTGCCCACATTAGTTTTAAGTTGTTTATGTACCATTCTTGTTCTTGTAAGTGAGCGATAAAGTGTTTATCTATCTATCTATCTGATGTGCCACTCCGAGCTTTAAATCGCAAAGATCTGACGTGCACTATATCTGCGCCCATCACCCTGAGACAAATGTTGAAAAGTCTCATGTGCCTGTAATTTCACCAGCACCCTTACCCTTCAAAACCGGAACACAGTTATTCTCACATTACTGCTTGGTTGGTAAGGTGGGTACATCACTGGACGCGACTCTTTCACAAGGAGCTCCACTGCTACTAATTTTGAAATAATTATTTGGTGTATACTTTTGCCGTAGCGCCATCTGTGAGAAATCTTGGAAAGTTATTCTACACTCGGTTAGGTACCAGGTAGATGTCGCCTTAATAATTGTAGTCTATTGAATATCACGATTCTGTAAAACAATCGTGATATTCCATTGACTTACAAATAAATGGACGACGGGTCTAGTACACAAACCACGAAAAAAAAGTCCCAAGTCAACCTATTCGAAATTTAAATTGTAATGTCATCGCAGTATCGCGCTGTCAGTAGAACAAATGAAGACTAAAGCGGAGTTTGGCGCTCTGTATACGATTTTAGCGCCTTTTTAGCGGACACTTTTTAGCGCGGACCCGACGTCCATATAATTGTAAGTCAATGTGATATTCAATATTTTTTTGTGAAATTACACCACTGGTTTGTCATAATTATTACAGGAAGAACGAACACTAAGAAAAATTCCTTCGAAATGGCTGGATGTGTACCAGCGCCTTCAACATAACGTGCCTGAATACCAAAAAAATATGTATATGCTCAAATAGAGTTATAAATTTCGCATAATATACAAAAATTATTTCTTATAGTTCATATTATCTTTACGTGATAAAAGCTCTTGTGACGTATCTCTTATGACGATCACATGTGGTTTTATTATGCCAACGGTACGATGTAAACAATTTGTAATTTTGAAACTATCTAATTTACCAGAATTCTAATAGCGCGACACTTGATATTAGTTTCTCGATTGTGTGTAAGCAATGTCACTGAGTTTGAGTATTCGATATCCAAAATGTAACTTGATATCTGTGGAGCACACTTATGGAAATGCTTTGTTAATACGAAAGAGCTATTTGTGTTAAATTGTTAGAATTTTCCAAGACAGGTTTGTACAAAGCACATTTTACCAGCATTGAAAATAATAAGTGAAAACCAACGATATCTTCGTACTTACTAGCGTATTGGATGCGGCGTTCCATACACTCGCTGTATTTCACTAATGTGCAGTGAAAACAACACTTCAATATCATAGATTAATAAGCAACAGAGTGTTCTGCTCTACTGCTAAAAATTTGTTTTTTTTTATTTCGACGATGTAGCAGGCATACCTAAATAATGCCTATTAACAGTCTCCTTGAAAAGGTCCAAGTTAAAGCGTTCGGGGAATACGTCCACAAGCGGGGAATTCCACTCTAGCCGCTCGCCATATAAATGTGGAAGCGAAGCGCTTCGTGCGATTCGTGGAATCCCAGCCCACGTCTAGCCCCCTGATCATGGAAAGGGGAAGGCGGAATCAAATTATGCAATTCCATCGCACACTCTCCGTGATATATCCTATAGAGTACAGATAAGCAGGCAACTTTACGGCGGTGTTCAAGGCTCTTCTGTTTCGCCTCAACTAATTCCGAGTCACCTATAAGCCTTTGGCATGCTTGTCGATTGAATCCAAAGGGACCAGTTGGTATTTAGCAGAGCCATCCCATAAGTGACAGCAGTACTTCACACACGACTAGACTTGTGCTTGGTACAGCTGAAGCAACAGTCTCGATATGAAGTAACACCTCACCTTGGAAATGATGCCAAGCTTCCTGACTGCATTATTGGCCATGGATTCAATGTATCTGCTGAAGTTCAGAATGGACGACAGGTCCATTCCAAGTCGCTGGAGACGGTCGGCTACCGGTATGAATATATCACGAAAAGTCGGAGTCAGGTAAAAGCACAGACGTATATCTAGATAGACGCCTCAAGTGTACGTACTTCGCGTGCCCAAAGTAAGTGAAATTCGTTTACTTGCCGCTGCTACACTTCAGAACGCGCTCGACCGTTATCGTAGATAAACACCAGTCGAAAACGCGAAAAATGCATAATTGTGCCTGGTAAACGGGAAAAACTGGTAAACTGGTAAACGGGACGTTTCCTTCCACGGGCAAGTGATTTTGTAATCAGAAAATGCATAATTTATTTTAAAAACAATGATTTTGGTTTTGTATGAATTTCGAGAAAACAAATATGCAACCGAGTGTAATTTGTAATACATTGCGGCTTTTACTTGGTGCGATATATTTGTGGTCCTTTGTTAATACGCCATAAATATCGAACGAACGCGCTTTAGTGTAATGCATTCAGTTTCGTGGTACGGCCGCTTGTACATTTCTTTGGTCAAATTTAACATTTAGTGATGTATACGTTAGGCAATACTGTTCTCGATTCTGATCGATTTTGAAAACAAAGGGACGGAAATTATTATGAGCCTAGCAATATTATAAAAATATTCTATAACTCTTTTGTTATAACGTTTCGGTTTTTTTTCAGTTTTGTAGTATCTATTATCAGTAGTATCTGTAATTTCCATTGACTTACAATTAATTATATGGACGTCGGGTCCGCGCTAAAAAGTGTCCGAACTTATAGGGCGTTAAAATCGTATACAGAGCATCATTCGCGCTTTAGTCTTCGTTTGTTCGACTGACAGCGAAGCAAGCAAAATTAGACAGTACTGCGATGACATTACAATTTAAATTTAACGTTTTAGCTTTTTCATATTCCTTTACATGTCACTACGTTTAAATA